TGAATGTGTGTGATACAAACTAGGCCTTAGATAGGCTGTTGGAGAAACAAATGCTTATCCTGCAAACTTTTTGTTATGTGTAATAACCACAAGGATCCAAATAATATCATTGTGTCATTGTAACCCATGGTTGAGTGTTATGGGCTACTTCCAGGATTGAGTGCTTGACATGCAAAACCTATGCTTTGCATTACGATTTGTGTTGCTGTGATGTCTTTAAACTTGAACCACAGACCAGGATCCCCTTCTGCTATACTCATTAAACAACGGACATTGCCATTCCTAGAGAGCTTACATTTTAAGTGTTTGGCAAACAGACTTAAAAAGACTTAAAACAACGAATAAATACAGGAGCACAAGGAAAGAGGCTTTTGGAGGAAGTTGCTGTTTGGTTTGTTTGTTTTTTAAGATTTTTTTACACCTTGCAGCAAGAAGCTTGAAGTGCAGGAGGAGGAAGAGATGGTGCTGAGCTTGCTTGCAACCTCTTTTCAAATATCAGGAAAGTATGGGAAATAGTGTGAACATACTAAATTGAAAAATTCAAACAGTAAACAATAGAAGTTGCCTCATTGGCTGAATGGAGCTGAAGGAAGCGTCTCATTGCTGAGTAAGGGGGAGCAAATAGGGGAAGAGTAGCCTGGAAGTTCTGGAAGAGTGAGGACTGATCTGTTGGTGCAAAAAGAGGAGACTATAGGATAACTGAGGTTGGGTTGGAAGGGGTTTTTGGAGGTTGTCAATGCCAACTTCTTGCTCAGTGCAGCAACAGGTGATTGGAAAGAAGGAAAGATCATTCAGAGCTAGGAAGATTATTCTGGTACCTCTGAATATCTTGAAATTGCATTTGCTATCCAAGTCAAAGCTAGAGAAGGCTGTTGCAGTAAATAAGGTAGGAGGGGGAAAAAGGGGTTTAGCTTATGAAATATAGGAAGATAAGCACATTAAAGAGAAAAATAACTTGATTCTTATCCCCAGGGGTGCTGAATGAAGCCTGTCAAGTTACAGGGTTTACAGTTACTGAAAACATAAGTAATGGCAAGGCCTAAGGAGACAGATAAAAACAGGTTTAGTCATCTTGAAGCTGATACAACAGCTAGATACTCTTGGAGAGGCTTCAGAGTGACAGATTAACCTTTTAGCTTGTTGAACAGGTCGTGCCTCTGGTACAGAGTACATCACCAAAGTATATCAGAGTGAAATTACTTACATGTCTATTGTTTCAAGGTTGTGTGGCCCAATATTTCAAGAAAAGTTCTGTGGAAGATTGCTGACAGTTGAAAAGGAAATGGCTGTACCTGTGTGTTCCTATGGTGTCACTGCAAATGTATTACAGCTGCCTTTGTGACTGAGATCAAGTAAGCACAAGAAACAAAAGCTGGTTTAAAGACAGCACAGGAGAAAATGCCAAGAGAGTAAAATAGTGCATGTTGTAAATGTAGATGTGATGGGTAGCTGGAAGTCGATAAGCTTGCTGAGTTCAGGCCTTTAATTCAATTTGGAGATTAAAAAAAAGTTGATACTGTGACTGGAAAACAACCCGCAGAGGATGAGAAGTGATTAAAGGAGAGGAAGAGAATAGACAGAAGGGATGTCAGGAAATGGTGTATTAGTATATATCTGTCATTTCCAGAGCATGAGTGGAGTAGGATTAGGTGCTATGGAGGCAGTGAACTTTTTGTTAGCTTAACAGGGTGTATGGGATAGTCTGGAACTTAAGAAAGTCCTAGAAGGTGTTAACTTGGATATTAACAAAGATCCTGGCACAAAGAAATAACCTATTGCACAGCCTAGTAATGCTATGCTCTCATTCCCTCATTTCAGCGGTATTTTTAAGAAATTGAAAGTTTGCCACAATGCTATGGTTTTTAATTTCAGATTAGCTTATGTGTAGGCTGGAGTGCTGCTCTAAATGGAATTATAAAATCATGTACTCAGATTTTCCAGTGGGGAAAAATAGTATGTCGAAGTTACAATAATATTTTAGCATGCAGGCATTGATTTATTTATTTATTTATTTTTATTTTAAGAGAGGACGGAAGGTGGAAATCGAGAAGTTCTGGGGGGTTTCACATCAGGTGTGCTGTCTGTCCAGGAAGCACAGGGCTGAACTGCCCGTCAGTTCATAACCAGCAGCGTCCCCTGGGCAGGGAGCAGCTCCTGCTGCATCCTTGCTTGCTGCTGCCCCCGGAGGATGGGCAGTAAGTAGCCGTCCCTGTGCTAAGAGTGAAAAGCGGAGTGCCGTAGGCCCTGTGCTTCCATCCGGAAGTGTATCCTCATGGGCTGCATGAAGCAGGTGTCAGTTAGCCAACGTGCGGTGGTGTTTGTGTTTTTGTTTTTTTTTCTCTTGCTGTGTAGTTCTCCTGGGCATTTACGTGCCCACAATATGTGTTTCAAGGTGTTTTAGATTTTTACTCGGTATTACTTCTAAGTATTGCAAAAGAAGATCAATTTCGAGCAGAAATGCTGTGTAGCGTTCCAAAGTTAGGCACCGTCATTCAAGCACCTGATGAGGTTTCTAGATAACGCTCTCAGGCGCTTCTCTGCCGCGTTGTCCCCCGGCACGAGCTCAGGATGGCGCTGGGCGCTTCGTTTGCTGTGCGCGAGGTCCGCGCAACGGGGCCGCGGCAGCTCCCAGCCCGCAGCGCGGCAGTCCGCCAGGGGGAGCTCGGGAGCAGCGCTGTGCCCCGCGCGGCGTCATAGCGCGGCCGTTGCCCGTAGAGCGCCCTCAATGCTGACACCAGGCTTTGCTATTAACTTAATGGTGTCTGCTTCTCTGAGAAGCAGCAAGGTGGTTAGGGAAAGATAGATGGAAGAAGGTGATATGCATGTATTTTTTCCTACTTGTACAGTAGCTCTTCCCCAGCAACCTCTGCCTTTCCTTTGCTAAAATCTGGTAGCATGTTGTGTGGGCCCGCAGTATGATCCCTGTGATTCAACAACAGAAACTGGACCGTGTGAACCCTGGTACAGCTTTGCTGTAGTCAGTGAATGAAGTAGTTCCAGGCACGGAGCTCCATTAGCAGCATGAAACCGGAGCTACTGCAGTGCTTTTGCTTTTCGACTTCAGTTACTATCGTGAGTCACAGAGTGGCTTGGGTTGGAAGGGACATTAAGGCCCATCCAGCTCCTACTCCCCTCCACAGGCAGGGCTGCAGCCGCTAGATCCAAGCACCAGTTCAGGCTGCCCGGGGCCATGCAGCCTGGCCTCGAGCGCCTCCAGCAACGGGGCACCCACAGATCCTCTGCAACCTCGGGGCCTCACCGCCCTCACGCTGAAGAATTTCTTCCTAATGTTTAATCTAAACTGCTTTCTTCTAGTTGAAAGCTACTAGCCCTTGTCCCAGCAATACCTGCAACTTACAGTAGAGAAGTCTAGGATCACTCCATCTAAGTCACGGCAATTGCTCATGTGGAAAACAGGAATATCTGGGAGAAGAACTAGTTACAGTGTCCGCTATCACTGAAAATAGCCAAATGTAGGCAACGATGCAAACTCTCTTCCTGTTTTCCTGTTGCTCTACAGCTATGTACCAGTATTCTTGAAGAACTTGGCATCTCTAGTTTTTAGGTAGAAAAACTGCACTTTAAATACTTAGATACATTCTTTTCTCCTCATGCCATTCTCATTTCAGGACAGTGACAGAAAATTCGTGATGTGCATAAAATACTGTATTCGTGAAATTCCTGTTCTGTGCAATAAAACACAGTAAAAAGTAACTTTGCTTTAGAGAGATGATTTTAAGAACTGTGAATAGAGCTACTAAACAGACCTTTGTTGTTCTCACTCTCTGTGAATTTATTCTTTGTTAGTTTGTAACATAACTGATTTAGGCAGTTTCAGGTTAGTAAACTAGAACCCACACTAGTCAATATGGACTGAGTTAACAGTAATTCAGTATCCTCATTTCACTGTTTTCACTCAGCCCACTTTCTTATCTCTTTGATCAATCATGTATCCCCATCGTCTGTTACAACAAGTGTGAACAATCATTTTACAGGAGAATCTTCAGTTTTAAGTTTAGGAAGTGAACCTAACTAGTAAATGAACAGAAAGTAAAATTTGGGGTATTAAATGTTTATTCCCATTATATGGCTCGTTAAGGACTTTAGGAAGGTAATTTGCAGATATAAATGAGCAACATATTCATTACAGTAATATGCAAATAAAGTTGATTTTAACAAAAGGCAAAGTGAGGTTTTAAGTATAATTACTATATATCTTTCAAAAATAGAAGGAAATTGAGGCAAATCATCACTATAATACATACATTTCACCAATGTAAGAAAGCTCAGCTAAAGTAAGTTAGCAATGCCATTTACACCAAGACATTAAACCTGTAACTAAAGAACTGATGTCGGAGTAGTTTACATGAGTATTTCCTTCAGCAAAAGAAGCTGATTTTAAGAAATAAACTGGCTGCTTATTCATGCCACATGTTGCAGTTCACTGCCACCTCAGTTGTTTTAACGTGGATTTTAAAGGCCATACATATTACATCAATGAACTGATCTAAATCTCTAGGTAGTTTTGGGTTTTCTTCAGGTTTTCACCTCAAGAACTATTTTAAATATTTCTTCAATACAACTGAAAAATGTTGATTGCTTTTAGAGAATTCAAGTGGCACGTATCAGTAGTAAACCAAGAACTTGATTTGTCGTGAAAAAGCATTCATGAAGCAAGCAGGAAAAAGAAACAGTAACATTTACTTCATATAGGAAAACTAACATCAGGCTCACCTGTCAAAGCTGAGATACATGATGTAACATTATTCAAAACATTCTGCATTCATGTTGTTTAAGAAAATTTATTTCAATATTTTAAATTGACTGGAGTTCTTCCATGCTTTGTGTTATCTAATTTGCTAGTGAGTAAACATCTAAAACATGACCAGTCTTAGGCAGTTCATGGTGTACTTGTATGCAGCAACACAACTGTTCATAATTCTACAGTTTTTATTCTGAAGTTAATTGTAATAAAACTTAGCATGCTGTAGTTGAGTTCTTTCTTACGCTGTATTTGGGCACTTTTGCCCAGCTCTATTTCTTTAGTACAGCTTACTTGTCCCAGACAGACAGCGGCCAGAAAGGTCAAACTGTTTCTGGAAATATTTTCCAGTCTGTGGTGCAATGCTTTCGCTGTGAGGTCCCAAACAACAAGGCAGGCTTAAGAACCTGTAAGAACCTGGATATACCATAACAATAGCATTTGCTCCCTTAAATATACCGGTTTGTTTTGTTTTGTTTTACAATGATGGGGCTATTGTTCATTTAAATAAATTATTTCTCCATCATAAAAGACTGCAGACAAGAGTCAGATCAAGTTTAACTTTTCAAAGCATAAATAAAAATTTCTGTATTTGTAAATGCAGAAAGCTTTTCTTCTCATCTTGGGTATCTCTACCTGATACAGGTATGATCAGCAGCTCTAGGACAGTTAACACAGCTACAGTGAAATCCAACTTGGATGTTGGATTGGGTGTTGGATGTTGTCCACAATAATAGAGCTGAATTTCAGTGAGCAGAACTAGAAAACTGTATACACGGTTCCATATTCTGTTCTCAATTCCATCAACACAAATCATGAGTAACTGCTGGAGAAGTTGAACCTGCAATCAGAAATCAGTCTATCTGAATGTGGTAACTCATGCATGTGGAACTGTGTAAGAGATCATCAGCTTTTGCTGCTTATCATTTCTGTTGAAGAATCAAATTAGTATTTTCCATCAGTTTTCTGGTTTTGCTTTTCTGTTTGCTTTCCTTCAGGTGCATTAAGTGTCAGAGCATGTATAACACAGCCCACATATTGAGGATGGCTAATTTATCACGCACTTGATAATTAAAAATAAAAATAAAAAATGATTCAAGTAGAGAGCCCTTTCAGAAAAACATAAATATTTTTCTTCAGCTTTGCATCACAGAATCTTGAATTTTCATACACTGAACTCATTGAAGTGCTGTGCTAGCATTTCAGCAGTACTTGACTAGCTGGGTAAGAAATACAATCATTTTCTTATATGTTCTAACTCAGATAGGATACTCTGTAGACGGATTTTTATAAATCATTTGCATCCCGATAAAACTATCTTACAGGACTAGTGTAAATCAGAAGTGACTGCACTGCAGTCAGTGGAGTTTCACCAAAGGTTAGTGATGAAAAGTTAAGAGAATCAAAAGTAAATATTTCTAACATCGCTCCGATTCTAAGACTGCCAGTGTGCTTTTGTTTGTACCGAAGTGAAAGATCTTAAGTCATTTTAAAAGCGTATTTCTAATGAATTATCATAATTTTGGTGCACATTTTCCTTTCACATAAGTACTTAAGCACAGCTCAATGTGGTTGGTTCCTTAAGAAAAACAGCTTTAAACTGCATGCAGTAGAAACATGGAAAGAAATAAATTGTGTAAAAAAAAACCAAATATCTGGAATTCATTCTATACTTGTGCCTCTTCAGTAGATTTTTCTTGTGATTTTTTCTTTCCAATATAAGGTTGCATAAATAAAAATAATATTCCCACCATATATAGCGAGCCGCATATATAAAAAGAAAAATCATATTTATGTGTGATGTCATAGATCCAACCTGCAAAATAAGGACAAAACATGCATATTACAATGCTTGACAAATTGCTGGGAAATATATGAAAGATACTGTACATTTTTCTCATGACATTTTACTGAAAACCTTAGTTGCTTTGAAGAAAACATAATGTGGTGATTGTAGCATCTAGAGGAGGCAAATAGAAATGCACTAACACAATCTCTTTGTCACTCACCATAACCCAAAACTAATTCAAAACCTACCACCCCCTGTAAGTATTATGCAATCTTAAAATGGGATGTTAGCTGTATGCCATTCTAGAACATGAGCAATCTTCTATCTGAAACTGTACATTTTTCAGATGAATTACTGTATAGATCTGACTTTAAACTATTTGAAATCCCAAACCAACTACTTCTTCCACTCTGCTGTTTGCTTTGCTATTACTGCTATGCCCAGTACTGCTACTGTGCCATGTAGGCTAGCTTAGATACTGTGCCTAATGCGAGCAAAGACATTCCCAAAAGTTTTCTAAAGATTCACATACCGATAAAAGACTTTTCAAAAATCTTGGTAGTGCAATTAATCCCATTCCAGCCCTAATCCCTTTGCAAAAATACATGAAAACTAATTCAGAAGGATTTGAGAATCTTTAGTGAATAGTGAGTAGTGAAATTACCCCATTTCATTCTGGCTGCATTGCCATGTAATCTCAAGATCAGAAGCTTTTTTCACACCAACTAGTCACATCCAGTTTGCTTCATTACTAATGACCAAACACGAAGCTATGTTGAGCATAGACTGAGAGGGGCTGAGTATATGGTAAAGTCTGATGCTTTTCCAAGGATGCTAAATGAGCTTTCTTCAAAATAATTTCATTTCCCTTGATGCTGGGGATAGAGGAGAGCGTTCTGTCTTTCCTGGGCTGCTGGTGGTCAAACTGGCTTTAGTTCAGCCCAGTGCCACTCCTGGCTGACGACCACCATAAGTCACAAGGCTTCCTACAGCTTCCTTTTGATTTGCTTTTCTCTTACAGATAGCCATAGCCTGAGTGCAGTACTGATCATCACCACCTCCATCTCTCCCCATCAGTTTCCCACTACAGTTCCCAACTTCTTTGTATGAGAAAATTTATAATGAATGTTTTTTAAACCAAAGTGACTTTAGGCATAATGCTTTGTGCACTTTGGCTTCTGCTGTGTAAAGCAGTAACAAGATTGTGAGCAGTACACTCTCAAAAGTAGGTACAATGGGCAGAAGAAAGGCAAAGACAAGTCCATTAAATTGATACATCCATGGGCTGCTTAGAGTGGTGAAGCCCAAACACACTCTATAGTTCTTGGTGCAAATACTATGGTACAAATATCCTGAAAATTATCCAAATAATCCTGAAAACTCATCATTTTTCATCTAGATATAGGCATGAGTGTATGTGAATATAGTTTTTATGCTACATGAACATATAAAAATAAGATATCCTTTCTGATTTTTAAAAAGGATATGATAATATTTTAAAGAAACATACCCTCAAAAGCACAACTTGTAATATATTTGGGGTTATTTATAAGGATGGTAATTTTTAATGCGTGAATGTTGAGCAACAGATACGTTCAGTAAATATATGCAATGTAAAGCAGGATGTTACAGGCCTTTCTGGTGCAGCTGCCTTTTTGATAACTACAGGTGTTCATAAAAAAAAGCTTGATAAAATAACAAGTCACACATCTACAAAACAAACAACTGTTGGTCAAAAATTTGAATTTTTTACCTGCAAAGGGTGGTCCAAGCAATGCAGATATTCCATTGGCACAAATGATGATGCCATAGGCATTTGCAAGGTGTTTAGTTCCAACCAAATCTTCAGTCACAACAGGCATTAGAGAAAAGTAGCCACTAGAAAATCCTATTAGAGCACAGACCACAGCCAAACTAATGTATGTTTGCATTAGTGGCAAAGTAAGAATGCAGGTGACCAGGGTAAAGTTAGCCATGAGGAAGACATTCCAAGTGCTGATGCAAGGGAGATCAGAGATGATTCCAAGGATCACTTTACCAAAAATATGAACAATTGCTATAATGGACGTCAAAGGAAATATATTGTTCTGACTAGATAAATTGTACTGCTTGACTATCTCTGGAAGATGAATAAAGGGAATGACAAAGCTGCTATAGGCAAACAAAGCCCAGATTATAAAGGCCACAAATACTCTGTTGGTGAACAGTGATGCAGCTCCGAAGTAACTGGAGTACCAGATTCCAAAGCCCTTCCTGACTGTAATTGTCAGCTGGCTCACTGTCTTAAGAATGCGCAGTCCATACATGCTTTTTCCAATCCGAGATTTACCTCCAATTTCTATGTGCTTAATATTATCAAGCACTTCTTCATTTTTTATCACTTCCTTTTTTTCTGGTTCTTCACTGAGGACTCCATTGGATTTTATAGTCTCTGCAGAGTGGGACAGAGCTTTTGCCTGATTATCTTCACTATTACGTCTTACAACATACTTTTCATTCACGTCTTTGAGAGAAAGTGGTCTCATAAGGGCCCCGCAGACACAAAGGTTCAGGCAGATTGCACCCTGGATGAACATGGCATTTCTCCACCCAAGCTCCCTGCAGAGGTACTTCAGCAAGGCTGTCATTAAGAAAGCTCCAAACCCTGTTCCTGTGGTACTGAGTCCTTGTGCAAGTGCTCTTCTCTTCTGAAAATATTGTCCTACCATGACCACTGCAGGCAGATAAACCATGCCACTCCCGATGCCTATGAAAAGAAAAGTCAAAATAAACCTGAACCTCATGCCAACAAGATAAAAATGAACTGGATTTATTCCTAACTTTTGCAGAACTGTAACAGTAATACCAAGAATAAATATTCAGTTCTCATGTTAGTTTACTTTCTGTCTTGTAGTGTTTTTCAAATCTGTGATACTCAAGCAGAAAGTGTTGAGCTTTAAGCAAACGCATCCATAACAGTAATAGTTGCCAGTTTTGCAATCCCTGCCATTTAAAGAGGACTAGAATAATGGTGAATGCAGAAAATGTTTTCAAATTTACTGTGGTCATAATTTACAACAGCATTTTGGGCTTAAAATCTTTCCTAAAATAGCTGATAAGTTAGCTGCATGACACCCTACAGCTAAACCAGGAGAAGAGCTGCTACTCCAGCAAAGACTGAAAAAAAACAGCCCAACATCACTGCAGTGTATCATGCTCAGAGCTGACCTGTCGCACCTGCTAAAAGCGTTTATTGCTATGCAGTGCAATAATAATGTGCAGCACATTATTTGGCTTCTGTTTCGCATGAGGCTTCCCCCCACATCCAGGCAAAAACTTGCAGGCAATCTCTCTGCCCTCCAGAGGACCCCCAGCGTCATACTGGCCTGAAGTTGGCTCTGCAACAGATGGAAGAACCCCTGTTCCCATCTGCTTGTGCTCGTACTCACATCAGTGTTTACTGAGCTCCTCTGAACACCCTGAGAAGTAAGAAATTTATACATTGTTCTATCTTTCCATTCTGTGGACTACATGGCAAAATGAGGCCTAGTTCAGGCAAGGGCATGCCATCTCTACGCATAGGCACAGGACACAGGCCTCTCTATCTTCTCCTCACAGATCTGGCACTTCAGCTTTGCAACACAACCTGGCTCTGCTCTCCCTTTAGGGCCCTGAGCGCTATTTTGCCACAGACTGATGCTGTGGGGAGGAGAGAACAGGCTGGGATGGAGCTGGCAGCCAGGAGGTGAGGGGACAGCAGATGGAGCAGATGCCATACGGAGCTGGTGGAGGGGAACCGCTCTGAGGTGAGGGGTGCTGTGGGACATGGAGCAGGGCTGGGACCATGGGGTCATGCAGGGTGAGGTTGTCTGGCACAGCTGGTCACTGTGGCCTGAGGGAAACACAGCAGCCGTTAGGACACCCATGAGCACTGTGTGGAGACAGTGACCCCAGCAGGAGGCGGCCACTGTAAGAAAACCTCAGTCTGAAGGAGGAAGGAAATTTCCCTGAGGTGGCAGTGAGGCAACCGTGAGGAAGGGGCAGGGTGTGAGGGGACAGGCAGCACGGCAATGAGGAGTGATGGGCTGAGGGCGATGGAATGGGAAGTGAGGGAACTGAGTGAGGTGACCATAAGGAAACTGACAGGAAGTAGAAGTGGCAGTGATGGAGGAGATGGTCAGTGAGAGGATGGCAAGGGCACAGTGAGCGGGGGACAGTGTGTGAAGGGACAGTGAGAGAAAGGAGGGACGGCATGTGAGGGGATAGCGTGTGAGGGGACAGCCAGTGAAGGGATGGCGAGAGAACGGAGAGACAGTGAGCAAGGGGCCTGAGAAGGGACAGGGCATGAAGGAACAGTAAGGGGACAGTGTGTGAGGGGACAGCCAGTGAGGGGATGGTGCTTATGGGGACTGGGACTGAGGGAATGGTGTGTGAGGGGACAATGAGTGAAGGGAGTGAGGACATGTTGTGTGAGGGCACAGTGAGCAGCGGTGGTGGCAAATACAGCAAACAGGTGGCTGAGGCCCTGGCAAGCAGAGGTCTCATGGAGTTGGAATGAACTCAGGCATTCCTATGCTGTTTTCCTGCCCCACATTCCTATTGTAACAGCATCTCATTTCTCCACCTCACGTAAAAACTTGCCTCAGACTTTTTTCTGATAATAACGTTTTCAGCTCACATTTTAAAATCTTTTAAAATCTCTGCATAAACCTCTGCATTTTTGTTCAGTATTTTTGGTATGCGCTTTCTGAAAAGCAGCAAGGGTTGAGATAACTCAGGCTCATGTCTGTCTGAATATAACAAATATGGATGGAATCAAAAACTGCCAAAAGGGCAATATCTTGTCTATAATTATTGCTCTTTGTTCAAGAGCATACAGAATTACTGAAATCTATAGTACACTAGTATAAAGAGTTGTCACAGTGATCCTTCTGAGTTTTACTTTTTTTTCCATCCAGATAGACAAAAAATTATGTACAGAAATTCTGCAGATTTCTCTGAAATCCCGTGAAGGGGTAGTTTGAGAGAAGGCATTTCAGCTATTGTTAAGATTACAAACCATTTTTTACATTGAATTTCTGTCATATTAGCCATGGAATTAATTATATTTCAAAGCTCCTTGACTTGCTTAGCATTGCTCAGATCATAGAATCATAGAATAACTTAGGTTGGAAGGGATCTTAAAGCCCATCTAGTACCAAAACCTGCCATGGGCTGGCTGCCCCCCACCAGCTCAGGCTGCCCAGGGCCCCATCCAACCTAGCCTTGAGCACCTGTAAGGATGAAGTATCCACAGCTCTCAGGGCAGCAGTGCCAGGGCCTGGTCCTCCTTTCCTCCTTTCTTAAAAATGGGAGTGATGTTTCCCTTTTTACAGTCACCAGAGACTTTGCCTGACAGCCGTAATTTTTCAAATATCAAAGAGAGTGTCTTGGCAACCAATCATCCAGTTCCTTCAGAACCCTGGGATGCATGTTATCTGACCCCATAGACTTGTACATCTTCAGCTTCATGAGGTGGTCTCAAACTTGCTCTGCTCTTACAGTGTGAGGGATATTGCTCCCCCAGACCCCAGCTAGAGGTGCAGGGACACAAGAGCCACGGGAAGCCTAACTGGCCACGAAGACTAAGGCAAAGAGCTCATTACTTATGACTACATGCATTGTTCTCATTCAGGCAGATCAAATCTACTCAAAGGGATTCAGAAGATTAAACAAACACAATATATTTGGAAGAAAGTCATGCTTATCTTCTTTTTTTTTTTCATTAAAAACATATATGCTACACCCTAATTATGGCTATAGAAACACTACGTAGTTATCATATTCTGATATTTTGCTAACGTGTAACAATTCCTGTAAAAATATGTATGCTATTTATTTCTGTGACAAAGAGAGGAGCTACCTAGATATACAGTGCAACAATATTTTAATCTCTTGAAAATCCATTTGTTAGAGTTTAGGTTACATTAATTCTTCTAATTAAGAATGCCTTCTAATACATTCACATGGGACAAACTGATAAAAACGCCATCTTCACATGGTAGATTTAAATGACAATGAAAGCCATTGGGACTAATCCACTGTGTAAACAAATGAGCTTTCTGAAAAGACAAATCTGTAAAGATAGCGAAGGAGAAACAGCAGTAACTCTACTGGAATGAAGGATGTTGCTCGCCGCCTCTGATTCTCGTGATTATAGCACTATGCCAGATCACATGAGGGCTGAATAAACTGAAATCAAAAGTCAAGTTACATTTCATAGCTAAAACTTTATTTTAATGTGCAAAAACACTCTGGGAACCAGTCTGACTTCCCTTTTCCCTCACCCAGGTAACATCCAAAGGAATCAAAAATCATCAGAAAGAAACTCTCAAGTGCTTGTCTAGCTTACCGGCTGTCACTCCAAATGTAAGGAAGAGGTAGTGCACACTTGAGGCATAGGCACTCAATATCCAGCCTAGGGCATTCAATATCCCTCCAATTATTGCTGTTTTGCGGCACCCACACATGGTAACGAATAAACCAATGAAAGGACCTGTTAATGAACATGAAGAAATACTGTGTTATTTATCTAAATCCCTAAACTCTTTAGTAATTTTTCACACCAAAATTCTTAATGATGCTTTAAACACTGTGTTAAAACATCATGCCACTCACTCAATTCAGGGTTTTATTTCCTTATTTTCATGGAAAAAAATATATTGTCTAACCAACCTTACTTAGCATACTTAGCAAGTACCCTTAAGACATAAAATCAAGATTGCTCCACGAAGGAATGGCTTAAATAGAGGAAGAAACGGAAACCATTTTTCCCAGTGCAAACGCTGTGAGTGCAGACCTTTTTTTAGAAGTCATTAGAAAGCAAATTTTTAATTTCGTTTTCAGTGGAATATTTTAGGCAGACCAAAACACATTTTCAATCTTAATTTAGGGAAATAGAGATGTGTATTTACACACATACACAAACACACGCCTACAGATATTCTTTTGGATTGCTCCAACCACTACTTAGAAATTAATTTTTTTTCAGTTACCAACTTACATATAAATTAGTTCACTATCCAAATTCAACATTTTCTCATAGATAGAGTATGGAGAGGACCACAGGCTTAGCAGAACCCGTTTTCTGGATTCTAATGAGTCCTTGAAGTCACAAGCATCCTTTTCCTGACATTGCTGCCTGGTCTAATTGTCTTCTCTATCATCTTCCCTGCTGTCCCCTATCTTCCTCTAATTTGTAATTTGTCACCTGGACAAGTTAGAAGAGATAACTGAGGAGAAACTGAGCAGCTCTGCTGGTAAACTGAAAACTGTAAGAAAATATTTGAAGGGTGAGCAGCAAACATATTCCAAAAATCTCTGTAGTTCTGAAATAAATGATGCTAGAACATACCTACAATAAGTGTAATGCCCATGCTAAGAGAGCTAACCCATGCTGTTAAGCCACGACTTTGATTAAACTCTTCAAGCCACTCCATGTTGAGTATTCCAAGGGCCATTTGGGACCCCATGATAAGTATGTGCACAAGGAAAGAGGAAAATACAATCATCCAAGCCCATCCTCCATCAATGTTTGGATTAGGCTTAATTGGCTTACTTCCAGCTTTTGAGTCATCTCCAAAATCATACCCAATATCCTCTCGACTGGCATACATTTTTTCCACAGTATTCTGAAACAAACAAAGTAAATAATTTCAAAACACATTCAAAATGATACAATTTGGTAGCTTGGTTATAGTGAATAGCATAAATCACAATTGCGTTTCACCTTTTTTCCCTCATACTTGATTTTCACTGTTCAAATGCAAAATACTTTGAAAATTCTCCAATTAACGTGTATGTACTTTATGATCATGGCTGTCTATGTAAGAGTACTCATAGGTGCCAGTAGGTCACATCGTTTCCATTAGCACATATTTACTCACTTGTATGCGGCTGAGAGCACTCACTCCTCATGGGTTGGCTCTGGTCAGAGAAGATCAGGCTCTCTCTGTATTCCTTCTGCTGTCTCAGTAAGATTACGTGCCTTCAATTAATAAAGCTTGGAGTAAAGAAATAGAAATCTTAAAGAGGCAGGCAGATACTTTTTCAGAGGAAACAAATTTGGATATGTATTTCTTCCTTAGTAGTGAAGACAGAAAGATAAAGTCATAAGGTTCTTGATTTTCAAAAAGCCTTGCTGATATAAATTACAAAGAGGGGACTGTTACTTCAAGTCTGTCAAGTTTAAGACTTTGTCAGAGCCAGTTTGACTAACTGTTCACTGTTATACTCTCAGATTCCATAGTATTAATACATATAACTCTACTAAAAGCAATGAACTCTTCCAAATTAATGCTTATCAGAATCAAACTGTGTGGCAGAGTTATATGCACAAACATGGGGGATCAGGTCATAATATCTTGTTTATCTTCATTTCTTTCTTTCTTACTCTAAATGTTAAATTTGCAAGCCATTTTTAATTGAGAAATGGGCAAGATGCAGAACCTAATCTCTCCATCTGATTTATGCAACATATCAAAATGTTACATGGTTGTGGAGCAGCACATCGGTTTCCATGGAGACTAGAAATGTGTAATGATACAAATAACCAGAGATGGTAATTTTTTCCCCTTCTTTTCTTTTCTGGAGAAACAGAAAAGAGCCATCAACTTCACAATAGTCAAACAAAATAAGAAAGTTATCAAAATTGTTTTTGAGAGCTTCATGTATTCTGCAATCCCTCAAAAGATATGTCTCCAGTTCAGGGCCAGATCCTCTGTACAATACATTGACAGTGAATAGAATAATTCAGACTTTGTACTAATGTAAATTTGTGCTGTTAATCTTTAAATATAGGAGTATATTTATAGGAGTATAGGATTATCTGCTTCTTCAGTTATTAGTTTTCCAAAGTATTTTACTTTTTTCTTATTGCTAGATAAACATACAAAGAATGTCTTCAAGTATTTCATGTTAATGCACAGCGGAGGTCGAAGCCACTGCTTCACAGGCATCACTGACAAACTGCCCACATATGTAACCTCTCCATGCTGCCTGCTGGTAAGTTACCTTCCGAGTGCCACACAGCCCTTATTTGCAATAGGTAATTACAGATAGCTGTGGGCAACTTGAACTTCAGGGTTTCTTCAAAAGCACTCTGATTTGTATATAATCAGTTCATATAATGAACTGTAACTAAAATAAGTTGTACCTCTGTTATGAAATTCCATACATGCAAACTCTTTCTGGACTATGTTATCTCTAGTCCTGACTTGGCCAGGGGGGAGAGAACAAAAGTATGGATGACACAGGGAGGCATAACAAGAACCGTGCACATTTAACATTTGCCACATGAGCAGATAATCTGGGATGAAATGATGAGTGCCACTGACAGAGTGCCATTTCATACACACCCTGACTTATTGGCTTTTTCTTTCCAAATCGGGCAGCAAAAAGAGAAGGAGATATTCTTATTCATCTTCCTGGAGTCCTCCAGGGTGTTTCAGGCAGGACTGCGTAGGTGGCGGGAGGAATGGTGAGGAGTGAGGGTTGCAGACTTTACTTTGAATGGAAGAGTTAAAATTATACTTCATCCTTCTTCTACAGTGCGTAGGTCTCAAAGATGGCATTTTCACCCTGTCTAACAAGGTTACTAGGAGCTAGATCCCCCGGTGATGCAATTTATGTGACTACCTATTGAGGACACAGCCCACTCACAAGAGAGAGAAAGACAAACTACATAAAGGTAAGAAAGTTACTGCATAATAATGCTAATGGAAAAAAAAAAAAGAGAAATAGCAGAATGAATGAAAATTTCAAGCTGCTAAGTACAGCCTGTGTGGGATTAGTGAAAAATGTATGATAGATATCACAGTACATCTTAAATAATGGAATACAAAATTATGTAACTCGAGAGTCAGAGTGAGGATTCAGTATGGAACCTCATGCATCTGACTATTTTTTGTGTGCACCTGCATACTGATACTGGATACAAAAAAAATCTTCTTTGGACCAGAAGGAAATAGATACATCTTTCATACTTTTAAAAAGTTTTTAAAAGATTTAAAGCAAAAATAATTGGCATAGAGATTCAAAGATAGGACATTCATCTTTCCAGCAGCAGAGAAAGTGCAAGCTACCTGACAGAATGGGCTTCACCCGATTCAATGCAAGTTAATGCAGGCTTACGACAACCCCCACAAAGCTTGTGAAACTGCATACACTTTTCCTTTGAATAGGAATCTCACTTATTATTACTTTTATGCTAATGTCACAAATTCAAAGTGAATACACTCAAAAGCACAGAAGGCCATTTCCAATAGCTGCGCAAACCTGAAGCTCTGGATGAAGCAAAGATTGGATGTCTGGATTCTCTCGCTGCCACTGACTCACCGCCCATAGCCTACAACCCAGGAGAAGTGCTCTTACCTGCCCTCAGTCTTCTTCCCACACCACAGCACTGACAAGAACACAGTAGCACAGAAGGCAGAGAAGCCCAATGAGCTCTCAGTAATTGTGAAATCCTAGAGAAACTGCAATGTAAATGATAGCAGCTCATTTATGAAGTCAGACATGCTTTCCCAGTGAGCAAGGCAGTGAAGACTCTTGCAGTAACAGTGTTTATATACAGCCTCCCACAAGGAGCTGCATTTAAAGACAGGAGAATCTGGATTATTGTTTGGGCAGCTGGAGAACAACTGGATTTTTTTCAGAAAAGCTTTTTATACAGTAAGTACACACGATATGCAGAGCTCTTAGAAAATTGGCTCAAACATTGGAGTCTACAGAAACACTGAGCTTTTCTGAAAATCTGACTTACGAGCTCTTTTAGAGACAAATGCAGGTGCTGTAATAAGATCAAAGTCAGCAGAGAAACATCCACGTTCCCTGTGCCATTACTGGCACTCTATGGCTCCCTGGTTAGAAGTTGAATGGGATCATCAGAAAAACATCTGATCTGGATACAAAAAAGTCCCTGCAGTGAAATTTTTACACATTCTTTTGTAGCCTCTTCCAGTAACTGATTGCTTCTGCTTTTAAAAGTATGGCATCAAATGGGAATTTAAAGGTACATCCAATGGATATAACTCATAAATACTTCATAAATAGTACTAAGGTTTGCTTCACAGTATTCTCACTAGATATATGTAATGATTTGTTTTTTGAAGATATATAGGAAACATATTGCTAAAAGCAAAACGCAGGGTCTGTTCAGGTGTTACTTCGTTGTAACCGGAACATATGCCATGACTTCTGTTGTCAGTCTCCAGTTGACTTCACTGGAGGCACAACTACGGGTCAGATCAGCTCCACTTCTGCAGATCAGAGGCACGCCGCGTGCCCGCAGAGTGAGAGAAAAACGGAAATAGGAGAACGCCACAAGCCATCACGCAGCGGCGACCCGGCTCGGTTCGGTGCCCCTGCGTGCCGCCCTGGATCCGCTCGGACGGCTCCGAGCGCCACGCGGCGATCGATGCCGCGCTTTCAGCGCGAGCACCAGCGGCAGCGACCGGCGGGAACGGGCTCGAGGGCGAGCGGGGCGCGGGGATCGGGAAGGCTGCTGCCGGGCCGCATCGCCGCTCCGTAAGCTTTCGGAAGCGCTACGCGTCACGCCCTCCTTAACACGCGAGTCGGGCTCGTGCGGGCGCCGCACCGCCCCGGCACAGCGCTCCCCGCGGCGGCACCTGCCGGGCCCGCAGCGCTGCGGGGCTCCGCGCGGGGCGGCGCCGGGGGAGGGCGCGGGGCCGGAACCGCCCGCCCGCCGAGCACAAAGGATGACCGCTAGTTACCTCGCTGCGGCGGGGCTGCCGCCGCCTCCCGCCGCCCTGGGGCCGCCCCCGGCCCCGCAGCCCGACCCCGGTCCGCAGCTCGACCCCGGCCCGCGCCCCTGCTCGCGGCGCCGCTGGTGCCGCGCGGCTCCTCCCGGCCCCTCCCGAGCTCCTCACCCCGCAGGATGCTGCCGCGCCGCCCCGCGCCCCAAGCTGCGGCGTCCCGCTGCCGACCTGCGCCCTCTCCGCTCCTCCTCGCCCCGCTCGCCAGCCCGGGGCTTATTGTCCGCGGCGCCGCGCGGCGTCTGCCGGGCGCTTCGCTCCCCGGGCGGCTCGGCTCGTGCGCTGTCTCGCTTCCATTCCCTGCAATTTCAAATCTCCACGCTCTTTCATTCCTGCGATACCGGCTAATTCTGGTTTGGCGGAGGAGATTTGCAGTCCTCTCACATGCACACTCTTGTGGCTGAATGAAGTTTTTTGCTGCACAGGTTATCGTCGGAAATACATATTGGAGAGAGTTGAAGAATATCATCCAATGAAAGCTTTCAGTCTCGGGTTTTAAGGGCCTCTGGGTTTCAGTAAATTGTTAACTTTACAGAGGCTTGGATGGCTTGGGAGAACTTGGGTAGCTAAACAACGCTAAGAATGAAATGTGGAAGTGTCACGATATAGCACCTCATTTGCACAATGCGCAAGCTTCAAAATTCTTCCCTTAGAATGAAAACAGAGTTTGAAGAACCATAGAATATTGCAGATATTTAAGGACTGGGGAGTCCAACAGGTGGCTCCACACAGGACCATCCAAAAATCAGACCATATGACTGAGAGCATTGTCCAGATGCTTATTGAATTCCAGCAGCTCAGTGCCTTGACCCTGGGAGCCTGTTCCAAGCTCACCACCCTCTGATGAAGACACCTTTCCTTCTCTCCTGCCTGAGTTGCAGAAATGAATCAGAGCAGTACCTGGATCTCATTTCTACCTTTCTGAGTAGTCAGAGGCATTAATGAGGTATGCACTCTGTAATGCACTGCTCTATTTGCAGTAAATTTGCTCAGACTAAAGAGATCATATGCCAGTGTGCAAAACTTCTATCACTGGGGAGTTGCGTACTACAGAGGTGCTGAATAGAATAGTTGAAGGCAGTAACAGTAGATTTGAGAGAAGATTAAATGAGGACAGACCGACAGTAATAGTGATAGTGTTTCATCTTTATGGTGCTTCAGACTCTGCTGAAGAGCCTTATTTTGAATGGGTTAAAAATACTGATTTGGTGTTTTCTTTTGTGTTTTTATTTAACCCCAGTATTTGATGTGTGCCATTACACATGCAG